TCTCCCTACAATTCTCCATAACGGCTGCACTAATTCATATTCCCAACAGTCCTATAAAAGAGGGTGTCCATCAGTGGATGAATGGATGAAGAAAATGTGTTGTATACACACAATGGAATGCTATTCAGTAATAGAAGGCAGTACAGTTATTTGTAATATAAGGAATTAGAGGACATTATGTTAAGTGAGATAAGAATATTATGTTAAGTGAAGTACAGAAAGACAGTACTGCATGATCTCATTCATATGTGGAATCTGAAAATATTGATCTCACAGAAGCTGACAGAATAATCATTACCAGAGTTTAAGAGAGTATGGGGGGTGGATAAAGATTAATCAATGGGTATTAAGTTATAGTTAGGAGAAATACATAAGTACTGGTATCCTATTGCACAGTAGCATGACTATAGATAAAGATAACATATAGTATATTTTAAAAAACTAGAAGAAAGAATTTTGAATGTTTTTTACTGTGAATAAATGATAAATATTTTTAAGAGATAGATATGCATATCTTGATTTGAACATTGCACAGTATATACATGTATCAAAGTATCTCATGGTATTCATACAATGTAATATTAAACAGCGGTAAATATACAAAATGCTGATATACACAACATCACTAAATCTCAAAAATCATTTTGTTTAGCCAAAGGATCCAAATCATAAAGCATACATTTCATACAGTGTATGATTCCTTTTGTTGTTGTTTTTGAAGTTTTAGAGTAGGCAGGATTAAACCATCATAATTTGTATTAGAATACTGTTGATATGACTGGTGTGGCTGAAAATGAATGTGAGGGAAATATTCAAGAGTCAGAACTGTTTTATATTTTGATCAAGGTAGTGGTTACATTAGTGTAAGCATTTGTGAAACTTCTTTGAAGTGTACATTTCCAAACTCATGTATTCTGTATGTGGATTATATGTTAATTGATTAGATTTCTAAAAAGCTGCATGCCCCTAATGGAGACTAAAGAATATTCATTTAGGAGTTGGTGCCTTCAGCCAAACTGTTAGCAGATCAGTCCTACTATTTAGACAATTGCTTGGGTCCCTGATTATCGGTAAACCTTGTTGACATGAAGAAACACTGAGCTCAGGAAGATATGAAATGGAAAGCAAGCTCCTCTGAACACATTCTACGTCTGGGACAATCGTGTTACTCTTTCTAGTCTCCCACTGGGGGCCCTAAGTCTGTGGAACAAAGAGCCCTCCATTTCTGAACTCTGATCTTTCCCCTGCACCACTCTACAAGTGGCCTCTAATGTCAATTAGAGTATGGTAAGAAGAAATTACGCTTCTTTTGCTTTTATTCTATAATAAATAGATTTAGTAATTTGAACATTGCAAAGACCCACAAATCTGAACATCACACAGGAAGATGCTTCCTTCACTCTGAATAATGTGATTTCAGCCCTCTGCTAGTGAGAGAAGGGACCTACATTTTCAACAAGGGCACATATTCCAGGTCTTACTCTGTAGCCCAACCCAGTTCAAAGTACCCTGCAGTGAACTTTATTACTTTCTCTTTTAAAATAACTGAAGACTTCAGCAAAGTCAGGCTGCGGTTTTCTTCTTAGATTCCTTCCGGGAGCGACATTCACAAACCTGTGCATCTTGGCAGCAAGGTGTGCCCCTCTTCTCAAGACTATTTTCCCAATTCAGTGAAGTTAGAAACCTGCCAGCTCCAGACCCTGAAGCCACACCCTTGGATGCTGACTATGAGAACAACCAGGTGCAAACTGCCTACGGAGCCAGGCTTATTGGTGCACTGAGGAGACCAGAAGCTTCCAGAAATCCATCAGCTCCATCTAGATGGTGAGAGAGAAATATGTGGTGATCTGCAGAGGTGTCTGTGGTAGGTGAGGTTACTGGCAAACAGGGGCTTAAGTTCTGGGGCTTAGGGGGAGAAAAGGAGTTAAGTCACAAGAGCTGTTTTTGGTAAATAAACAAACAAATGCAAAAAGACTGAAGATAGATTGGCTGAGGAGAGTGATCTTGTTCTGTTTGACTTCAATTGTTCAGTGTTGACTTAGGGTTTTCAATTCCAAGAGAGCCCTGGTGAGGTGACTCTACAGAGAAGCAAGACAGAAGCAGAGCACAAGAGAATAGTTTACAGTATTCTACACTTAATGTAGCAGCAGTTGGTTTTCAGGAAAAAAAAAGAGAGAAAGAGAAGGAAAATCCACTGAGCAGGGAGGAGGGGGAGTTGATGCTGCTTGTCTTAAGGTCTGTAAGGGGGAGTTAGCCCAAATAAAATATAAAGTTAAGTCTTTGAACAGAAAATTCTTTTTTCTTAAAGGACTCTTAAACTGCTGGCTGTCTCACCCCCTTCTCTTACAGAATAATTCAACATAATTCACTGTCAGAGTGAACATTTCCCTCTGCTCTGACGAAGATGCTGCGTTTTCCCAGGCTGTCTCCATCTGGCTTTCTTCTCCCTTCGCTCCTTCTCCAGATGTTCATCTGGTATTCAGCAGGTCAGTGTTCTGCCTCATACTTTTTATTTATTGGTTTCTTTTCAATGTCTCCTCTTACATAAATGGAAACATGTGTCAGTCAAGAAAACTCTCTCACATCATCTCCCCTTACTCCTTTGGGTAAATCTTGTAAAATCATACTTGTAATATTTATCTACAATGTCACTGATTATAGGTGACTTTAGCCTATTGACCTTTGATTTATCTGTTAGTGAAAATATTCTTTGTAATTTTCACCCTGCCAAGGAAAGTCTAGAGTACACAAATTTAGACCCAGAGCTTCTGAGTTCTAATTGATTAAGATCTTGGACAAACTACTATTCTTTCTGGGACATGAGTCTTCCCTTCATAAAATAAAAAGGTTCCATAGGATGAAGCTTCAGATGCCAGATTTGGAGATAAACCAAATGCAAGATCACAAGAATGATTTTTTTTCTTATCATCTCCTTAATTTGATGTCAGTTAGATGGTGAGTACCAAAAACTTTAATGTACATGCATGCTAACTCAAAAATTCTATAAAAATTTTGTTCTACAGAAATGCTTTCCCATGTGTGTGATATGCTGTCTGTAGCAATTGTTGGAAGCAGTGTAAATATTCACTGATTTAGGAAAAGCTTGAAAATGATGGTGCAGGCAGTGAAAAAACGAAGTAGAGCCAACTACAAGTACTAAAATGTCTGTTGTTGCAGCAGTTGCTATATAATGATCTCACATGATGAATTCACAATGATTTTTTCCACTATGCTTTCGCTACATGTAATGCCAAATACCTTTTTCTAAATTAAATTCCTCACACACTGTGTATTGCCAACATCCTAATATCAAGTAGCTAAAAACATATATCTCCTGAGTTTCAACAGTACCCAGTATTTTATGCAGGGATGGAATAGAATGGGGACCACTGCCTCAATCCAGCACAATGGCTACTGTCATTCTCCTTGCCTAGACTGTCTGGTCCACACTCTCAGCTGGTCAGTGCCACTTTCTCTAAGTTCATATGCCCTTGCCTTTTGTACTCAGTCCTCCTGGGCACCCACACAGCCACTCTGTTCTGAATTCTTCCCACCCCAGAATCATCACACTTGTGGGACCTGGGCACCGCAATGTCCTGTGCCTCTGCCTATGCAAGTTTTACCAGTCACTTTGTGACCGTGGGTTTCTACAATAAAGATGTTTTCTTGCTGCAAATGCACGCCCTGGCAGTGAGTAATGGCTCAAACCACATGGGCGTAGGATTAAGTTTTGGGCTCCTGGTTTCTGCCTGGCCCAGCACCATCTGTTGAGGGTATTTGAGGAGTAAATCAGCAGAATGAGGACCTCACTCCTCTTTATGTCTCTTGCAAATGCAATGAAAATAAACAACTAAATTTTTTTAACTAAAAATTTTAATTGGATGGCTCAGGTGACTTGATGAAGGAGCCTATTTCACAACTCAGACAAAATCTCCATTTTCTCTGCGGCACCTCCTTCATCTTTAATAAGGGCTGCCTGCCTCTCAACACAGACACACAAACCTTTGTTTCCTGCACCTTTTTCATGAAAGTAATTTTCATAGGAAAAAATTCTTTAAGGTTTAAAGCCTTCATAGTTATTTGCAAATAAATAAAAAGCCCTATCTTCCTTTAAAAGTCTACTTTTTAAAAAAAATTTTATTTATTTCAGAGGTAGAGTTACAGAAAGTGAGAGGAAGAGACAGAGAGAAAGGTCTTCCTTCCTTTGGTTCACTCCCCAGATGGCCGCAATGGCTGGAGCTGTGCCGATCTGAAGCCAGGAGCCAGGAGCTTCTTCTGGGTCTCCCATGTGGGTGCAGGGGCCCAAGGACTTGGGCCATCTTCTACTGCTATCCCAGGAACAGCAGAGAGATGGATCGGAAGAGGAGCAGCTGGGACTAGAATCAGCGCCCATACGGAATGCCAGCGCTGCAGGCAAAAGATTAACCTACTGTGCCATGGCATCAGCCCCTAAAAGTCTACTTTTATCTTTAGGATAAAATCTTGTCTCCCTTTCCCAACCCAGGGCAAGGTCAAGGTCAGAAATGTCTAGTGTCTACTTACCCTCCTAGGACAGAAAGGTATGAGTGAGGAGAGTTATAACCTCCACTCTCCTCCCCTTCAGAAAAGATAATTGCTTAGTGGGTTACTTTGCCACATTTAATTATCAATAAATCTCTTCTACATAATTTACATATAAATACTATTTGGAATGCCCTTTCAAATGCCAAACTATCAATAGTTGTTACTTCTGAAGAAATGAGTGGAATCCGTTGGAAGAGAGTAAGAGGAATATAGTTGGAGAAAACATTATATATACATGTATATATATATAAATTTATATATGCACAGATTTTTTTATAGAGATAAATTTTTAAATTTTAAAACATATTATTTTTCTGGAAAAATTATACAAATAAGAAATATGTTTGAGTTCCCAAATCAAGAAATATCACTGGGCTTATAATCTCAACCTCTGTCACTCATTCCCACCATCTGTGCTTGGTTTCCCTGCAGGGTCCCAGTTTTCTGTGAAGGGTCCTGCTGAGCCTATCGTGGTCTCACTTGGGGCAGACGCCACTCTACCCTGCCAGCTGTCCCCTGAGCAGAGTGCCGCCGGCATGCACATCCGGTGGTACCGAGCGCAGATCTCCCCGGCGGTGCTGGTTTTCCAGGACGGACAGGAGCACAGTGAGGAGCAGATGCTGGAGTACCGTGGCAGGACCCAGTTGGTGACCGACTCCATTGACACGGGGAGTGTGACCCTGCTGATACAGAATGTCCGGGCCTCTGACGATGGCCAGTACCGGTGTTATTTTAGAGACGGTGACATCTCGCGAGAGGCCACTGTGGAGTTGAATGTTGAAGGTATGTGACCTTGGCAGCGTGTGGGGCATGCTGCAAAGCCAGGAGCAAGGTAGGACCTCTGGATTCCTCACCTGCACGGCTTTCCATCTGGGATGTGCTGACACACTATTTTTGCCTTGTAAAATGCCTGCTTCCTAGGTTGTACCTAAGGCTAAGACTGTCTATGCTAACCACTCTAAAATACATCTAAAGATGTTTTCGGATCAGCGCGGTGCGCCGGCCGCGGCGGCCATTGGAGGGTGAACCAACGGCAAAAAAGGAAGACCTTTCTGTCTCTCTCTCTCACTGTCCACTCTGCCAGTCAAAAAAAAAAAAAAAAAAAAAAAGATGTTTTGACATACAAAAGTTCCCAGAAAATTTATTCAGCAGTAGTATTAAGTACTGACAGCCTCAAGCATTATTTTTAACCTAATCAGGAGAGAAAACTAAGTAACAGAATTAGATTTTTTTTTTTTTTGGTTTCAACTGTCCCTGTTATTTCCTCTTCACTAAATGACCCAGAAGCTCTCTCAGTCCAAATACATTGCCAAGGCAGTAAGTTGATTTCAAAACAGAGCCACAAGTCAGCCTAAGGCTCACATCCGAACTCCAGTCTCCTCCTCAGTGAAGGGCCTCAGAGACCCTGCGCTCTGAGATCCCGAGACCTCAGGTAACTGCTTTCTCTCCCCAGGCCTGGGCACGGTCCCTCGTGTTCACATGACGGGGCCTGAGGACGGTGGGATCCGAGTGCTGTGCTCCTCAGAAGGCTGGTTCCCAAAGCCAACGGTGCAGTGGAGAGACAGCGCGGGCGGGAAGCTGCTATCGCCGCCAGAGTCTCAGACCCAGGACGGCGATGGGCTCTTCCAGGTGGAGGCTTCTCTCGTAGTCAAGGACAGCTCCTTGGGCAATGTGACCTGCTCCATCCAGAATCCCCTCTCCCGTCAGGAGCTCGCATCAGCCATCTTCCTCCCAGGTGATTGGGGCCCAAGCCTCACCAAGGAGGAGTAAGGACAGGAAGTGGGGAGGAGGCTGGCAGGGAGTCCTGGGGAAACAGCAGCGCTTCCTCCAGGCTGGTCGCTGACAGTGCCTCTGTACGCCCCGGTGCAGAGCCCTTCTTCCCCAGGGTGTCTCCGTGGAAAGCCGCCCTGGCTTGGACGGTCCCTGTGCTGAGTCTCCTCCTCGTTGGGATCAGCTACATTGGCTGGAGAGAACGTCAAGCCAAAGAGGAGGAGATAAAGAGAAGTGAAAGAGAAGCTAAAGAAAGAGATAGGGTGAAGAAGGGAAAAGAAGAGGCATTTAAGAGCAAAGGTAAATTGGGGTTACAAGAGCAAATTAGAGGTTCATGCAAAAGCTGGGGAGGACTGGGTAGATAGGGAAATCAGAGATTTCACAGGAAACACAGGGGACCAGGCATTCTGCAGAGCTAGGAGTCTTGTGCAGAGGAGAAAACCCTGTGGGAAGCTGGATCAGGGCACCGTGGTCAGGAGGCCTCAAAATGTGGCTCCTCAAACCACACCACGGCTGCCTCACACCCAGTCAGAACTATTTCTCTCTCCTTCTGTACATGTTTTCCCCAGAATTCTCTCCCTACTCGTACTTCAAGAGTAAGCTTCTGACAAACCCAAGAAATTCTGAAGTCTCATGAAGCATGGTTATTTCTTCCCCTGTGACCCCAAGGCATCCCCTACTTTTCTTAGCACTTGCTATTTTAGACTGGGCATCCATGTTTGCTGCCCCTTCTCACCCAGAATACGAGATCCTTAAGAGAAGGCCAAATCTAATTCATCTGACTACTCCCCAAACTCAGGGACAGCTAAAATCTCAGCTGATGGGTTTTATATCTCCTTCTCTTTCAGAAAGCCTCAAAAAAGAGCTCGGTAAGTCCTACTGCCTCTCATGCCCCTGTAGTTTGTTTCCCCTTTCATGCCTGTCTGGGACTCTCATGGGATGTTGTTTCTTTCAGAAGAGCGGAAGGAACTGTACCTTCAAGGTAAGAGACTTGGCCTTTCCCCTACCTGATGCCCCGGTGTCTCATCCTTTCTTAGCTCCTCTCCTTGGAGGAAAAGACAAAAGATGAAATAGTGGAAGAAAAAGAGGAGGAAAGGAAGGAATGTGAGATCACAGATTACTACCTCAACTTGGCTTACCTGGGTTTGTTCTGTTTCAGATTGGAAGAAGGCCCTGCTGTATCCTGGTAAATAATGCTCCTAAATCTTGCCTAGAATCTCTAGTGTTATGAGCTCAATAAATAGACACTAAACATGGACCCACAAACACACACACATACATGCGCACACCCCTGCCCATTTGCAATTTGTGGAAATGTATTTGGTATCAATGTGTGGTAATTAGAGGTAAAGTGAAAGGGGAAGTCATTACTACCTGGTGAATTTCACAACAGGCTGGTGTAGGCCTCATTGTTAGTCTGTTCACGCTGAGAAGGGGGACAGAGAATTCGGAGAATTCAGAGTGATTTTGGTCAAACAATGAATCTATTGTATCAGTATTTTTATACCACAAATAAACAAATAAGGTACAAAAGAATAATAATATAGGGGATGGTTTTGTGGTGCAGTAGACCAACCTGCTGCCAGCAACACTGGCATCCCATATAAGAACTGGTACTAGACCCAGCTGCTCCACTTCTAATCCAGCTCCCTGTCAAGTTGCCTGGGGAGGCAGTGAAGATGACCCAAGTACCTGGGCCCTGCCACCCATGTGGGAGACTTGGATGATGTTTCAGGCTCCCAGATTTGGCCTGGCCCAACTTCTGTTGTTATGGCCAGTTGGGGAGTAAACCAGCAGATGAAAGATTCTCTCTCTTTCTCTCTCTCTCCCAATCTCTCTGTAATTCTGCCTTTCAAATAAATAAATAAATCTTAAAACATAAAAACAGATAATATATTTTGTAGCTGGAAGTATATATTAAATAGAATTTTATCTATTCAAGACAAACCAAGTAAGAATTGATATACAGGAGCATAGATTTAAACAGTTTGGAAAACTACCTAAGCTGAGACAGAGCACAGACAGCATCTACTTGTGCTGTAGTTTCTGGATCTACTGGAGACTGAGGGGTTTTGGGAGGAAGTGAGGAAAGTTGGGAGGAGAAAGTAGCCATCCAGGGTAGGAAGCATCTTCTGTTTTTCATTCCCTGGGTGCATGCCCTTTAATTTGTATTGCTCTTTTTCAGACTGGAGAAAGGAAAAGTTCCAGGCTGGTGAGTGATTTTTGGCCCCTTTCCAATGTACCTTTCATACCTCATTTTCCCTTATTAACACCATTTTCTAGTGGAAAAGACAAGGTACCATTATTCTGGTAAAGAGATGGAAGACCATGAAGGTCATGAAATGTTACCCTGAACTATTAACTGGTTGTGTTTCCATCTCCACATATTGGCCTGCTTTCTTGTCTGTGGGGTCCACTTAGTTTTGAAAACAGGGATTAATGTAATCTTTCAGCTGAGGAGACCCCAAAGTAATAGGTGCTGGAAATGCAGAGTCAGCTGCTATTTTTAGAGATTAGTTTATGTGAGACCTATTACACGGTGATGAATGTGTAGACATTTATTCTTCTATAAATTAAATCACGGTCCTAATTTATAAAGAACATGGAAAGGAAATATTCTCAAGTAAATATTGCAAGTCCTGGCTCACTCTGGCACTCTGCTCAGATGCTAATTGTAGCAAAGATGATATAAAACATGAAGAGTCCCATCAAATGCACCTTGAGAGGACATTCAAGCCCAACATGCACACCTTGAGAAGTGTTGATATACCACTAGCTCCTCATTTTCTTTGTTTCTTTAGAGTTTTATCTGTACAACAACTTTCTGAAATATTCAGTGGTGGTTCTTTTTTTGTTCTTCTAGCTGTGGTGACTATATATAATGAAAGGCTTTCTGAGAACAATTCTGGAACAGAAGGAAAAGAGAACCACAGGAAGGAGTCACAGAATCTCATCTCAGTGGAGCAAAGATATTTCACATCAGGGAGACATTACTGGGAGGTGGACATTAAGGATGCTGATGAGTGGACACTAGGCATTTTTGAAGAAAATACGGTTAAGAATGCATCATCTAGCGAACCATCAAAGAAAAAATTCAGAGTCTTAGAGAAGAAGCGAGGTACATACCGGGCTCTTGGCTACTGTTTCCAAGACATTTTTAAAGAGGAGACTCTCCATATAGAAAAGGATCCACAAAAGATTGTGATTTTCTTAGATTATGGGGATAGTGATGTTTCTTTCTATGACATAGATAGTGGTGACCACATCTTTTCCTTCACTGAACCCAGCTTCTCTGGATCACTGTATCCTTACTTCATTCATAAACCCGTGGAGTTCTCCGTATGTGCACAGCCCACTGACTGACTTAGAGGCAGATCTCACACAAATGCTGCAGCCCAGGACTCCAGTCCTGATCAGTGACCCCAGGCACCACTGAGCATGGGGTCTCCACGGGTACTCATGGATAGAGATTATTACATAAAAAGTGGTATTCCTTGAACAATCTGCAGAGAAGAATCAGGTTTCTTTCATTATTTTTGTAAATGTAATTTCTAACTTTATATTCAATATTTTCCAGATTGATAATTTCCTAAAATGAACTGCTACAAGAATGGCATGAATAAAAGCAAATATGTGCAATTAGAAAGACGTGGCAATTATTTTAGTATTCGATTCTGCATAAGGGGCCGTTGCTGTGTCATGGTGGGCTGGGATCCCGTGTGGGTATGCCAGTTTGGGTCCCAGCTGCTCCTCTTCCAATCCAAATCTTTGCTGTGGCCCGGGAGGGCAGTGGAGGATGGCCCAGGTGCTTGGGCCCCTGTACCCATGTCGGAGGCCCAGGACAAGGGAGGCTCCTGGCTCCTGGCTTCAAATTGGCTCAGCTCAGCTAAGCTGTGCTCAGCTCTGGCCATTGTGGCCATTTGGGAAGTGGACCAGCAAATGGAGAACCTTCCGCTTGTCTCTCCCTCTCTGTGTCTGTAATTCTCTCTCTCAAATAAACAAATAAATTTTTTTTTAAAAACTATTCAGTATAAGTAAAATTATTCTATCAATTGGCTCTGTAAGCTTTGTTTACACTCTTTCTGTGTTTGTTTAGTAAAGAACTGGTAAAGAATAAATTGTATACAGCACAGTTCTTTGGACTACACATAGACTAGCATGGCTAAAGCAATGTTCAAAGAAATAAAAATTAAATGAACATCATAGTTCTCAAGAGCAAAACAGCAACACTGAATAAAACTACAAAACAATGCTATTTACAAATGTTTAAGGAGAAAACTTAAATTTTAATTTGATAACCAGACAAGATTAGATATTAAATGCAAGGATAATTGTAGGAAAGAAAAAAAATGTCAATTACAATCCAGTTCTAACAAATGTGATGATGTTAACATGATGTGGCTCTGGGGCCACCATAATGAAGTGAGCACATACTGGAGGAGGAAGAGAGGAAAATTCCATTGCTTTGCCTTAGATATTAATAAAGCAAATAATTACATATTGGGAAATTCTAAGTAGGGGGAAGATTCTTCTTTTTCCCCTTCCAATCAAAACCATTAATTACATTGTAACAAACAATTACAGGAAACAGTATCCAGTACTCAAACAGGGATGGCAATAGTATGTTCCTATCAGCCTGGCTGGAAATCTTTGCAAATTCAGTGGGCGTTGGGTACTGAAACTGGGACATGAAGAACTTAAGATTCTTGTCTTATTAGCAGGAAACAATCAGCATTAGACTCAAAACAGCCACAGTTCTGATGATTAAATATTAAAAACAAGAAAGACCCAAAAGTCCTAAGTTGTTTAGCAATGTCTTAACTTCATCCCAGAAGAGAGTTCAATGAGGTAAAATGCATAATGTCTGACATCCAATCAATAATGACCTGGTATGAAAAAAATAAAATATAATTAACAACAAAGAGAAAATCAATAGATTAAAATGACACATAACTTATACAGCTGTTAGAATTAACAGACAAGAACATTATAGTAGAAGTTACAACTATCTCCAAATGTTCAAAATGATAGAGATTGAATTTATAAGATTCAAATTGAGTTTCTAGAAATGAAAACTATAACAAGTGAGATGAAGATGAAACTGGATCAGTCTGAGGATACAGGGATAAACAAACTCAAGGACTTTTCTTATTTGCTAAGTTGACAATCAATACGAAGACTGCTCCTGACACCAGAACGGGGAGAGGGGTGGATTCCTCACACAGCAGCAAGCAGTCAATCCTGCAAGAAACACCAGCTGGATGTCTTAATTCAGTTTGATTCTGACACTATCTAGCTGGAGACAGCATCAAACCACCGACTGAGGGCTAGCTCTCACAAGACCGCATCCACTTTAGATGATACTTGAAGGCACAGGTTGTTTATCTGTATTTCTGACTCACCAGCTCTCTTAGTGTTTCCAACCTTCTTTTAGGATTCAACTAACAAGCTAGAGTAACTCACAGAAATCAGATAAACTTTCATACTTGCTGAATTATTATAAAGGAACATTATGAAGGATGCTAAAGAGATGCACAGGGTGAAATGTTTTGGGTGCAACAAGGATTTGTATGCCCTTTCTGGCTGTGGAACACTCTGGGCCCCTCCACATGTTCACTAGAAGCTCTCTGATCCAGTCCTTTTGGGATTTAATGGAATGTTCAGGGGCACAGTTGGTTAAATCATTGGCCTTAGTGCTCACCGAATCTTCAGCCCCTCTCTCCTCCCTGGAACTTGGATTCTGGAACTGAAAGTTTCGTTTTGTTTTTGAAGGGTCACAGAGAGAGGGAGAAACAGAGAGATAGAGAGAGGGAGAGAGCCTCCACCCGCTGGTTTGCTGGTTCACTTCCCAAGTAGCTGCAATGGTCAGGGTGGGCCAGGCATAAATCAGGAGCCAGGAGCTTCTTCCTGGTCTCTCACATGGGTGCAGGGGCCCACACACTTGGGCCATCCCCTGCCACCCTCCTAGGTACACCAGTAGAGAGCTGGACCAGAAGTAGAGCAGCCAGGACTTGAAATGGTGCCCACAAGGGACCCCAGCATCATAGGCACTGGCTCCACCCACCATGCCATAAAGCTGGCCCCTGGGACTGAAAATCTTAATTCTCTAATCCCACCTTGATTTTTCTGGTGACCAGCACAAGGCCCCCTCCCTCATGCCTCACCCTGCCCAGAATCTACCCCCCTAATCATTAGCATACAAAAATACAACTTATACTTGGAAGAGTCCAAGGATTTTATTTTTAATAATAAATTTTTCTTACATTTTTAAGACACAGAAAAGTTTTACATATTCATATGATATCATGTGATGTTTTAATATATGTACATACTGAGTAATAACCAATCATAGCAAAAATATATCCTCAAATATGTAACATTGCTTTATAGTGAAAATATTCAAAATATTGTCTTCCAAGTTTTTTTAAATAGAGAAATATGCAGTACACTAACATTACTTACAGTGACTCTACTGTGTAACAAAACCCCAGGACTTCTTATTTATTTATTTATTTTAATTTAATTTATTTCATTTTGCCTTAAGTGCAACTAGTGAAAGAGAAATGAGGGAAGGGAAGAAAGAGAGAGGAGAGAGGAGAGAGGAGAGAGGAGAGAGAGAGAGAGAGAGATATCTCATCTGCTGGTTCACATCCCAAATCCCAAATGCCTGCAACAGCCAAGTCTGGGCCAGGCTAAAGCCAGGAGCCCAACACTCAATCCAGGTCTCCCACTTGGGTGGCAGGGAGCCACTGCTTGAGCCATCACCTCCTCTTCCCAGATACACATTAGCAGGAAGCTGGAATTGGGAGTGGAGATGGTACCCAAATTCAGGCACCTTCATGTAGGACTTGGGCTGCACAGGTGGTATCCTAACTGCTATGCCAAATGACTGCCCTAAACCCTAGAACATCTTATTCCCATGTAGCTGTGATTTAGTACCCATTATTGGCCGGCGCCGCGGCTCACTAGGCTAATCCTCCACCTTGCGGCGCCGACACACCGGGTTCTAGTCTCGGTCGGGGCACCGGATTCTGTCCCAGTTGCCCCTCTTCCAGGCCAGCTCTCTGCTGTGGCCAGGGAGTGCAGTGGAGGATGGCCCAAGTGCTTGGGCCCTGCACCCCATGGGAGACCAGGAGAAGCACCTGGCTCCTACCTTCGGATCAGCATGGTGCACTGGCTGCAGCGCACCAGCCGTGGCGGCCATTGGAGGGTGAACCAATGGCAAAAGGAAGACCTTTCTCTCTGTCTCTCTCTCTCACTGTCCACTCTGCCTGTCAAAAGAAAAAAAAAACAGAGCTCTCTCCAGATCCTCTGCCTCTTTAAAAAAAAAAAAGTACCCATTATTCAAACTTTCCTCACCCCTCCCCTCCCCTTACCTCCCCAGCCTCTGATAATCCACCACTATACTCTAAACTTCTATGAGATCACCTTTTATTTATTTTTTTCCTTTTTTAAAATTTTTTCAACTTTTATTTAATAAATATAAATTTCCAAAGTACAACTTTTGGATTATAGCGGCTTTTACCCCCATAACCTCCATCCCATGTCCCACTCCCTCTCCCATCCCATTCTTCATCAAGATTTATTTTCAATTATCTTTCTATACAGAAGATCAACTTAGTATATACTAAGTAAAGATTTCAACAGACTACACCCACACAGACACACAAAATATAGAGTACTGGTTGAGTAGTAGTTTTGTTGTTAATTAGCATAGTATAACACATTAAGGACAGAGGTCCTACATGGGGAGCAGGCGCACAGTGACTCCCATTGTTGATTTAACAATTGACACTCTTATTTATGACATCAGTAATCACCCTGAGGCTTTTGTCATGAGCTGCCAAGGCTATGGAAGCCTCTTGAGTTCACAAACTCCGATCTCATTTAGACAATGGCATATTCAAAGTGGAAGTTCTGTCCTCCCTTCAGAGAAAGGTATGTCCTTCTTTGATGGCCCATTCTTTCCGCTGGGATCTCACAGAAATCTTTCATTTAGGTCATTCTTTTTGCCACAGTGTCTTGGCTTTCCATGCCTGAAATACTCTCATGGGCTTTTTAGCCAGATCCGAATGCCTTAAGGGCTGATTGTGAGGCCAGAGTGTTGTTTAGGGCATCTGCCATTCTATGAGTCTGCTGTGTATCCTGCTTCCCATGTTGGATCATTCTCTCTTTTTTTAATTCTATCTATTTGCAGACATTAGTCTTATTTATATAATCCCTTTGATACTTAATCCTATCTTTTTGATCAATTATGAATTAAACTGATCCCTTTAACAAGTAAGATGGCATTGGAACATGCGACATTGATGGGATTGAATTGGAATCCCCTGGTACGTTTCTAGCTCTACCATTAGGGGTAAGTCTGAGTGAGCATGTGCCAAACTGTACATCTCCTCCCTCTCTTATTCCCACTCTCCTCCCTCTCTTATTCCCAATCTTATATTTAACAGGGGTCATTTTTAGTTAATTTTAAATGCCTAAGAATAATTCTGTTTTAATTAAAGAGTTCAAC